ATTGGAGCATATGCAGACATAACTGTGAGGTAACTGCTTAGCAGGTATTATAACATTGAGATTTGATCCTTCAATCAAGTTTTAAGAACACTGCAAAATCAGGAAAGCTAATGAACGACTGCTAATCACTTCTAGGCTGGGGAGAAAGAGCCAGCTGAATACCGGCTGGAGATATAATACTGAAGACAAGTAGCCCTTCCCAGGCCCCAAACTGCCAATTGTCAGACCTGTCTTCTCTTCCACACCTGTGCCCTTCAGCATTGCTACTGGCTGTGACAGACCTGGGACACGGAGCTAGAGCCCTTTGGTCTGAGCCGAAGGGGCCAGGCTCACCGTCAGTAATTAGGATGACCCTTGGGAGAGGATCTCTCCAATGTTGGAGACTTCTTGGGAATCCCACATAGCAGCAGCTAGGCTGATAGAAAGGTACCCAGGTGCAAAATTTTGGCCAGAATTGTTTGTTATGTCGGTTTCATGTTTAATTTTTTGCACTGGAACATGCTCCTAACCACAAAGCCTGGCACAATGAGCACCTATAGGCATGCGGAGGCCAGAGGAACCGAAGTGAAGCTGACAAATCCAGGGGATCCTATCCCCATTGCAGCAGTAAGCCGATGGGAACGGGCAGAGCAGCTTCTGGCCAGGGGCCTGCACTGCTGAAGGTGCATTTGGGAAAGCCTCCCACCGACACCACCGGAGGAGGAATCGCCCTGAAAAAGGGGGGATTCACCCCAGCGTGATACACGCTGCCACGGCAGCGCTGCGTTTTGGTGAACGGCAATAACGACTCCCTCTCAAGGTGGGCAGATACGTGGAGGCGACTGCTCGGGCTACAAATCTGAGCACTGTTTCAGTGCGACGTTTGGACCAGCCAACCTCACGTAAGCCACTGTATCCAGCTACCAAAATCAGAGCAGCCTGTGGCTGCTGTATTGAAGATATCCTTGCATCATATGGCATGGATGAGGGACCTGCATATAGGCATGTAGGTAAAATGAGGGTCTTACTGTTTTAATTTTACCATTATCCTGAAGCATTAAATATTGCACATAACAGGACCATAAACAAAAATATTCCTGCAACCTCAAGGCAGCCTTATTTCATTTTCTTCCAGAAATGAGCAATACGGCATTTAGTGTCACTTTGCAAGATTAAAACAGCAGTAGGATAATACATCTCACTTATAGCAGGGTAGGAGGCTGTAGCGTCAGCGAGCAATATATATTCAGAACTACTGCAGAAAACACAGACCACAGATAGCTCTGTCTCCTGGTCCTTCTTAGCAGAGCAGAAGAAAACAGAACCACTTCCATTGCAGATACCCATCAGAAAATCATTCCCAGGGCTAAATGGTTTGTGATTTATTTTCTAAACAGGAGAGAAAAAAGAGGAAAAAAAACAACAACAACAAAAAAGCAGATCTATTCTAGGTGAGAGGGCTCTCAGGGGATTACCTGCAACAGCACCAGGAATTCAGGTGCCAGTCAGGGACACCAACCTGGGCAATAAAAAACAAACACGGGTGCCCAGCGCACCCACTCTGCACAGCTGCCGGGAAGAGAAGGAGCTGCAGGTCAGCTGCAAGAGCCCTGGCAAGGCTAGCAAGAGGAGCGTTCCTTCGGCTGGAGCCGATGCTGCTTCACCCTCCTTCCAGGAGGGGGGAATTCAGACCCAGTTACAGTCCAATTATGGGAACGCCACTGACTTAGTCTTTTAACGTCCCCTTTCAGTACCTGATAATCAAGTAGGCATTAGCATGCCTGGAAAACAGGCATTTGCTCCAAAATTGCAGTTGTTGGTGATTGAAAAGCTCTTTCTCCCCTTCCTCCAACTGCTCAACAAGATCTGCGTGTGCAAAAGCAATCACCTCCGCAGTCAGGGAAGTGGTGTCTTCGCTCTCCCATTGCTTTCCTGTGACCTTTTAAAGACCTAGCTGAAATCCCATCTACATTTTGCTTACCCCATATCTTGCTCCTCTTTCTACTTTCACCCCAAAATTTCAGCTTTGCTGGTAGGATTTAAAAATCTCCACTCCAGCAAGCAGCTGAAGCAACACACACAGCGCAGCTGTAATTGCCTTTAATAGAAGGCTGACTTTCTGAAGCGGTTAAATGCTATTTTATTAGCCTTTTTTTTTTTTTAAATATACATTTTCACAGAAACACAGCAAACTGTGGGAACAGACAGTGCTGGAGCGAGAAACTACTTGCAAATAAAAGATGGTGACAGACTTCATTTTCCGCACGATATGCAAACGGCTCTCTGCCAGTAAGACAGATGAGTTGTGCCTCAGCCCTCTCTCCTTTTTACCTCCCCGGTGGCCAACACGCACTGCACGCTTCACAGGCAATAACAGAAACGAGCTTCAACCGAAGTTAAAGAGAAGCTAAATGCCACGCAGTAGGAAAGCTCCCTAAATCCCAGCCCCACGGCATTTTTGATAGGGCCAAGGAGACGACAAAGGCAGCGCAGGACGGGGCACCAGCCATCTCGGCAGACTTGCTCGACGTAGCCTTCCTGAGGAGCCCAATAACACGAGGCTCCGTGTGCATTTGATCAGCGCTTTGATTTCTCCCTGTTTTCAGAGGGGATCACCCTTAATCAGTGTTGGGCTCAATAAACCAGACAGGAACGTGCTCGATCTCATCTTGCCGATTCAGGGCGCAGCGGGAGCAGCCTCTTCTGCCTCCCTCCCACCCCACGCACTAGACCTCTCTCTCCCGTTCTCCTTATCATGCTCTACTGCTCAGTACGTGATCTTCCTTTTTTCAATATTTAGTGGTTTTCAACCATTTGATGTAATCTACAGTTCCCTCTTGTGCCCACACATTCTTAACGGCTGAGTTATCTAAACAACACCGCAAAAAAAAAAAAAAAAGGATATTGAACTGTCAGGTTTTTAAGATGCACTTTGGTCATTCTACTTTATTTATTTCCTGGAGAAAAAGCAAGTACTACTGGACTCCTGCAAGGCAGCATACACTAGTAAAGAGAGGAAGAGACAGTGTGGCATAACAGTGAATTTTCTCTCTTGCCACGGGGCAGGATTTGTTTGGAAGTTTCATTAAAAGAAGGCAAATGCTTTAAAAATAAAAACAAAACTCTTCCTCTGGGGACCTGCTGTTTGACAGTAGCTCTAGAGACCTTTCTCTACCTTCTCTAGGCATTCAAATTACGACAAACTCCAAAAACATACCTAAAAGGCAGCCTAAAAAATCTGGAACGCTATTTTTTTGGAAAGCTTCTACCTTGCCTGCCCTTCAACATCGTTCCTCAAAACGCATGCGACCCACTCTGTCTCCTCTTGTTAGCTTGATTCCCCATAAATTGTAAAGACATTTAAAAGCCCAAGAACAAAAGAGGAAAACCCTTCGCTCCCGCTGAACACTCAGAAGAAGATTTGCTGCTACTCTATGACAAGGCAGTCGGGTTTGTTTTATTCTTAAGCCAAAGAAATTAAACCACAACAGGAAGAATTATTTCTGCTCTCTGAGAAAGCCCATTAAATTCATTTTGCTTCCCGTGTATTTGATTAGCAGGTTGTTCAAGAACAGCACAGCCATAACGCCAAGGGCACGACCGTGTGCTAAACCACAGTCAGTAATGCAATCTGAGAGGTTTGCGAGCTTGCCATCTGTGAGAGACTCAAATTAAAAGTCCTTGCTATAGAAGTGGAAATACCTTAGATATATTAGTCTAGGACTATGCTGAAATTAAGATGAGAATGGCAAAAAAAGAGTCTGTTCTGAGACATCATGAAGAATGAAGCAGATTAAAATCATAAAACAAAGTCCTTGGCTCAAACGAGCGTTATTTAGCAGTGGTTTTTTCCATGACATTGAGGTCACACACAGGTCTCTTCCCCCCACGTCGGTGTGACAACAAGCCAGACCTTGAATGTTGCTTCTCCCATGTAACGGATGCTCCAAAATGACAGTGTTTGATAAATGAAGAGCTGTCATTTTTGGTTGTTTCCATTCCAGAATGCAACACAGGAAAAAAAAAAAAAAAATCTGTTGCTGCTTCAAAAGATCAATGAATTACCCAACTGACTCGCTGAACAGAACAAAACAGACGCTAATGCCTCCTTAGTTAACCGTGTCACAACCAGCTTTTTTTGATTTGAGGGCTGAGATTTTCTTTAGACTTCCCTCTTTGGAAGACCAAAAATAAATTGTCTCAGTTCATTTTGAAAGCAGTGTGTTCCTTTTATCCCACGTTTTTCAGCGGGGCTGACAAATAACTGGAATTTCTGTGGACTTTCCTCTTTGTGACCTGGCATCTTCCAACGGGCCAGAGAAGCTCTGCAAGCAAAGCTATCACTTTGGGTAGCCTGGGAAGAAAGGCTAAAAGTGTCACTTGACATTACCACGGGCTTTGGTTTCACTATTTTTTGCCAACGAAGCAAACTTTTAAGTCCCTGCATTTCAAGAGTAGACGTCTTTGCTGGGACAGATTAGCAGCTCGCATAAATATCACAAGTGCAGCAGTGTGAAAAGACAGAAGGTATCTAATGATACTTGTTGAAATGTAAAGTATTCAACTTTGCTCCTTGTAGGATTACATCATTCACAAGCCTGAGGTTATCCGAGGGAAAATACAGCTGGAGAACTGAGTTTGTACTGTCTTGTAGCTGGTGAAGAGCTGGAGAGCAACATTCTCCAAAACACAAGAACGCTCTGTAATTAATAGGACCAGACATAACCAGAGAACAGATTTTTGAACAGCAGGTCAGCTGACTCGTTCATAAACGATTTTGCCACAGTTTAAAATAAGAAATAAATCTTCAGAAGTCAACCTGCTTATCTTTCCAAACAATTTGGAGCTAAGACCGAAAGAGATGAAGTAACAGCAGTTATTTATTCAGCTCAAGTTTCAAGCAATCAACAATGCCTTTTAGGGAAATGTATGTAGAATATCTTAGAAAGAAACTCATTGCTGGTAAGCCTTCAAAATTTGTTTTAAAAAGCAGTAACAGCAGAGAAAAAAACTATACTTACTGGAAAGGACCGTAGTAAGGAAAATGTAGTCAGAAAAAGAAATGAGTCCACATTCTCCAAGCGCGTAAAATATGCTGTCTTCGTCAGCAAACTTCTCTCGCTCCTGGGATAATTTCTATTTATGCATCCGACCCACATCCCAAAAAAGAGAAAATAAAACAATCGATTAAATACAGTAACAGAGCGCTTTATCTCTACCCTTACCACCATCAAGCCAGCGCACGTACACACACTCCTACTATCACCATTCACATTCAGTGGACCTTTTCCAGCCTTCAAATCTCTCAGAAACGGTCTGCAAGGCTCAGTGTATTCCTATCTCACATCAGGGATAAGGCATTGCATGCTAAGCACTAGCTGTTTTAAGCCTAGCTGAAATACAGATAGGTAAACTATATGTCCATTGCGTTTAATATCGTTTAGATCTTTGAGAGAGTATAGTGCTATGAAAAAATAGAGCTTTTTAATACAGAATGCAAAAAGGAAATTTTTTGGTTTCACTAATGGCATTTTAGCCCTAGTTATACGCTACTGTAGTAGCGGCCAAGAACGAACAATTTCATGCAAATACAAAGGATGACCAAAGTTATCAGAAATACATCGTTATCAGACACGTACACTTCAGGAGCGTGTTTAGCAGAATCTACTAGGAGAACCAGGACCGATATCGTTCTCATCTTTCTTTCTTCTCCCATTTCTCTAATACCTTTAAGTTTTAAGTTTGCATACCACATGTATTTTAGCATCTCATCTCCCTAAGTAAGCTAAAAAGCCACAGTCCCTTTGACCCCCCTGAAGCTTCAAAGACTGAAAAGGATCCATAAAACTGTTACAAGTTGCATACCAAATTCCACGCTGGAGACCCATGTTAAGAATATTGCAAGAGGAGGCACGCACACACAGACGAGAAGAAAACTCATATACAAGGAGGAGGTCTGGATGAGGTTATTTCATAAAAATCAGATCATGCAAGCACAGAAGCACGTTCAAAGCAGGCTGAGTTTAGGAACGGTTTTAGGAGAAAAAAAAAAACAAAAACCCAACAACACCGCCACCACGCGAGGGTCCAGCTACACAACTGGCCCCCCCTGTTACCTCTGTCTAGCGGAGATCCCATCATATACAAGATAAAGGAAAGAAAACTGGTTAACCAACAATAAAAAAAGCAGGCAAAACATAATACCAAGTTGAACAGTTAGACTTGCAAAAGCAAGAAAGGCCTGAAGCACCCAGGCGGTTGCTTCGACTGAACGCCGCTAAGAAGCCTAAGTATGTATATCCCAGCAAGAGTTAGCGCTTAGCCTCCGAGGGCGAGACGCGCTCGGCAGCTGATGTCTCTCATCCGGCGGGTATTTGAGAGAACTCACCGTTCTACGTGACTGCGCATTGGGGATGAGCTCAGCTAATAATTTAGATGAAAATTTTACCCGTATCTGGCTCAGAAACCACAAAAAAAAAAAGACAAAAAAAATCATATTGATCACCAAAAATACAGTTTTCAGGAAGAAGTTCAGCTCTGTTGATCAAATAAAACTCTTTGCAGTAGCTCTTCCGTTGAGAATTTATTAAGTAAATCACTAAGAGCAGACGTGCTAATGGCATTCATTTCATGCAAAATAACTATTTTCAAAAAAAAAAAAAAAAAAGATTTTACCTCCCATCCCCATCAAGCTGGATCCCTAAGCAAAGTTGGCTTCACTCAAAAACAGTTATTTATGCCTAAGACAAATAAACGATAGCCCGCTTTCCATAAAAGCGGAGGAAAAACCTGTTGAGAAAGTGTTTTTTCTGCAACTGCTCCCCGGTGGTGGGGTCAGCAGCGTCTCACCTGCGTGTGCTACTCATGGGCTCTTCCGCTCACTGTTTGTCTTCAGCAGAGTTTATGATAAACTAGCTATTAGCATCCACCTACTTCATTCGCTCCTAGTACTTCATGATAAAGTCCCAGAGGCTGGTTTATTAGTTTTATGGTTTTCTTTCCTGCACTTAAAATTCATACTCAGCAACAAATAGCTCAACATAACCCTCCACTAGTTCAAGATTGCGTCCACAGACTAACAATAAAAAAAAGGACAGATATCAGGTTAAATGTGTTCCAAAATACAAAGGTTTAGATGGATGGGAGAGACAGGCATCGACTTATCTGCATCTGTCTTTGGGCAAAGAGTAAATGTTTTTTTACAAGCATCTCCTCTGCTTGCCAGAAGCCGGGCAGAAACGCGGGGAAGGGGACCTGACACTGTCACTGCTGTGCCCAGGGCAGGCAGCCAACGGAAACGGCAATTGGGCAATTGCTCCCGCTGATCTTAACAGGGCAAAAACGAGCAGCCGAGTTGCTACAATAGCTCATTTTACATAACAAGGTTTTCAGGCGCTCAGCACTGGGAGGACAGACACTTAAAAACCTCACGATTCTCCAATTTGGATTTTTTCTGGCTTACTGAGACACTGGGTGTTTCACTGCTTCCCATAAAGTACACGGGCAGCTTCTCTACAACAGCAGAGGCTCAAAGCTTCCTCTGCAGGCTTCCCCCCCATCCCTAAAGTACTCGCCAAACCAGAGCAAACCCCAGGATGAGAACAAGGGTTTGCAAGCCTTCGTCCCGTCGCAGTTTAACACTATCTGGGAATAGAAGAGGATCCCCCAGGGCTTTTTTGTGAAGTTTCTGGGGAAGATGCAGACTAGCAAAAGCGTCCCAGCTGAAAATCTCTAGCACGTAGCTTGGGCAGATAGCTGGACTGAAGAGAATAACGCTTTCACAGACAAACGTCACGTAATTAATGCTAACATCCAATAACAGCATCTATAAATCTTATGTTTCTTTTCCGTATTCCACTTTCAGTTCAGTGTGTTATACCATCCGTTCCAGCCAAAAAGGCTATGCATGGGATTGGAAAAACATAGGAAAAAAGAAAAAATAACAAAACTTTCCAAGCCTCTATTTTAGAGATCAATCATCTTTACAAATTACATGATTAGTTACCCATACAATTTCAGGACAACTTTCACATTTCATGCCCTTTTGTAGCTGAACACAAGCTAATTCTCAACAATTCATGCCGAGTTAAAATGATCGGTTGAATCTCCTCGATCAAATTAAGTTTTTTTTCCCCCATGTTAAATCCATGCCCCAAAAGACAGGATTAGGTCAGGACCATTCAGCACTGCCCAAAGAGCATTCAAAATTGAGCATTCGCAAGTGAGCAAGCACTGGAAGAGGTTTCCAATGACGATGTGCTTTTTAATCAAGCATTGAATTCATATTAAACAAGCATACAAGCAAGCAAACATCCGCAGTTAAACATAAAAAGAAAAGAAAAGAAAAAAAATGTGCCATTTATTTCAATACAGTGAAAAGCTGCCAGTGTCAGTGGAATCACTTCTTACACATACTCAAACAAATAACCATACAATACTGACAAACACCAACAACAGCTAAAACGTTTAAAAGCATTTCAAAATCTAAAGCTTCGTTTGTCCTTGGCAATTTAGGCTCCAATCAGCCCTGCAAAGGGCTCCAAGAATGATCCCATAGCTAACGAAATAAAACTATTGTCTGCTGAAGGCAGTCTTCCATTCGGATGCGAGAACTGGTGTTCCAGCACGTTAAGGTGCTTATATCAACTCTTTACTACAGCATCTCAGGAGAGCACCGCTGTAGTTAGCAAGGGACATTAGAGGGCTTTTTGAGACGCTTCCCTTCCTGTAAAATAAACCTTGTAGGGTTGGGGGGCGGCGGGGAAACAGAGGAGGAATTTGTTCTCCTGTCAGGAGATGACCCAATGCAGACCAGGAATTTTTTTTTTCCCCCTCCCCTCTTGCTTATTCTAGAAGCACGACCTGCTGCAAGTTAAAAGATTGTGATTTTTCCCCTTTTAAGTCAGGGCTTAGAACTATTTGCTGGAGGCCAGGCGGGCGTTTCATACACCTTCAACCAGAACACAACTGAACATAACTTCAGGTTGTCCAATAACAGCCACCCACCTCCCCAAACCTATGAGCTGTAGGAAGTGAAGTTGCAGGCCATGTCCAGACAACAGGCTCCCTTGCGTTACGGGCAGGGACTTCACAATCGAAAAAACATCTACAGATACAACATGCACTTCTTTACATATTCTGCCAACACACCCCTAGGCACTGAGCCCTCCTCCAGCCAAATACACGGTCTAGCTCTTCAGGACGGGCAAATGCACCCGAGCTGAACCAAAGCTTCCAGGTACAAAGAGTCTTATGGAAAAGCCACTGCGGTTCCTCCCTCTCCATGCCCAAAATAAGCTTTACTTCGGGCAAAAAGAGGCGGGAGCAGAACACCAGAGTAGTTGGGCGTCCTCTGCTCAGTCCTGCCAGGCTCTGCTCTCCTCCGCCACGCTGGGAGGACACCGGTGGAGGTGCAGGCAGAGCTCAGGGCCCTGGATATTACTAGGATTAATTCATAGCTAACAGATCAAAGCACGCGCTCCATCTGTTTAACTAAGCAAATCCGAAAAAAAAGATGTAGCTTTGCCAATTAGTAGATGTCTTCTCTGCAAAGGCAGATAGGGGCGCAGACTGCAGCGTTGATGTTTGCCCTGCGTTACTAACGTGCATTAGAAAAGCCGCATCAGCTAAATCCTGGCAGTACCGTTTCATTTTGCGTTTCAAAAATTATTTAATGAGCAGCATTTAATTTGCCACTTCGGGAAGAATATACTCTTGGTACGTCATTTAAAATTGACAGTATTTCCATCTAGGGGAACAGAACATACATTTGGCACATTTATTCACATAACTATTGTTTATGTTTCAACACCACCTTTGTACTTATATGCACCAAAGCTTCAGCAATTTATCCACCTTATGTGTTCACTCGACAGTGACTTACCCCTTCCAAAACAACAAGAAATTAAACTGCATGCAAGATAACGAGCAATTTTTCAAGAACCCAAAAGTAATTCTGCAAATTAGTAAGGAACTTCAGATGAACCATTACCATTCCTTATCGACAAACGTCATCCATACCTTTTTTTAAGCATTAAGTTACCAATATCAGGGAAACAAATACAAGAACATGAATGTTTAAAATACAGCAGTCACCTTGCTGCAAAGCAATTCTCTTTCAGTCCCAACTGACCACCTTCAATTATGCAAACTGCTTAAAATACAGCTATTAAGATATTTCTTTTATAGTTAGCTATAAACATAGGGGAAAAGGAGTTAAAAAAAAAAGCAGTACGTTCAGTGTTAAAACAAAAAGATTCTCTCTTTTGTCTTATACTGTAAGGGTTCCCACAAATCTGTTTTATAAGCTTGCCCCATAGAAACAGTTACAATTTGTTTGCCTTGTTCTGAGCTTTCTGACTTTATAAGGTAAAGACGCCCTTCCAGATTACTGCAATTTCGGGATGGGTGTCTTGAAAAAGAGATCGGGGGAGGTGGGGGGAGCAAGTTGAAAGAATATTTGTTCCAGACGTATTTCTTAGGAAGCAAACCCTTACCTGAAGTCTCTCATGGATCTCCCTTCTACTTTATTGCCCTTGTGAACAAGGACTGCATTTTAAAGTTGCTGTTTAAGTCCTCGAGATTAATACGGTCAATACAGAGGAGCTACGGAATTTTGGGGAGGAAAAAGCCCTAATTAGTACTTGCGCGCACAACATTAAGAGGTAGGCATCGAGGCTGGGCCCTGCTGGCATGCTGCTTCACACTTCAGGCTTAAATCAGCAGGCGGCATCCCTATAAATAAAAGGTTATTGGAATCCTTTTAAGGACACATTGGCATTCATAAAAACGGATCTTTTTGCAGCTCACTGGGCAATACACTCAATGAATACTTTTTAAAGACTGTTTAGCACCTACCCCGGACATTGTTTGACATCTTTAAAGCCATTAGGCTGTCTTAACCATCTCGTTAATGCTACGCAACATGGATATGGGTACCGACAGGGCTCCTCTTGGCCCAAGACCAGCGAGCTCCCTTGCAAGCAGGGCTGCCCCCATCTGTGCAAATCTATACAGAGAGGCCCTGTATTAGCACGTCTCGCAGGAAAGATAAGGGAAGACTCTTAAGACATGCCACTGAAAACCATGGACAACGTATCCTGCTACAGCAACTAAAAACATTAATCCTTTAAACGCTGTCTGTATCAAAATGCCAAGCTAGAGGCTATGAAATGAGGGAGATTTTTGGTTTTGCTCATTTTTTAGGAGGCAAACTTTAAAGAAGCATAGCCATCTATTTAGAGATTTTTATGATACAATTCATGTTGGCACCTCACTACCCACACATTAAGAACATTCAAAGAGAGATCAAACAAAAAGGTTTTCAGAACCAGATTAAAAAATATGAAATGGCTCAGCCCTCATGTTCAAAAGCTTTATAGGGAGAAAAAAAAAAGGCGGGTAGGTCCTCAGAGCGCTCTGAAACAGGCACAAAAAAGGCTTTTAGGGAAGGGA